TTAACAAATGTTTCTATGAAGAACAACACATATGTGAACGCCAGATCTAAGCTGGCTGGGATGTGTTTGTGTCAACAACAGGAAGAAACTAGGTGTAAAAGAGCAGGTCAGCCCGGAGAAGTCCTGCCACGGAGTCCTGGGAAGTCCTGTAGATCTGGAAGATATGATCCTTAAATTGCACCAGAAATTTCTAACTGGTTATAATCTGAAAGTAGGCCAAAGCACTTTTAGTCTCTCAGTTGTGCTGGGTGGTGTCATTACGTTAGGAGTCGTATCTAGGGATTGAAATAATGGTGCAAGCTACTGTCAACAGACTGTGAAAAGAGGAGCAGAGTGGGAACCCAGAGAAAGCAGTGGTGAGATACACAGTGGGGTTGAAACAAGATGATGAGAGTTTGGAGGAGGTAAGACTGGAGGAAAGCTATCATGAAGGATGAAATGCAGCTGACAAAACCGCCTCCTGCACTGGTCTAGTAGGAGTTCTCCACTCCTAGCAGTGGCTGCCATGCAGCTGGACAGGGACACTCACTTTTTTAAAAGAATACTTCATTCCTCAGGTAGAGGGACAGCAAAAAAAAAACCCACCAAAAACCCTTTGTTGAAATGACAGGTAAACTCATGCTACTTTTATTAACCGAAGAAGCCTTTGGAGGGACTGACAAGCACTCACACCACAGCGAGCTCACCATGCTGCTGTTAGTGGCCTCAGGGCTGTGTCTTCTATGTAGTAGTTTAGCAATGCCATGGCTGATTTTCATCATGACCGCCTCCTGTTACCTTCATGATCAAAACCAGTGCAGCCATTGCAGGTTACAACTCCAAAGTACCACTAAGCTTCTAAACAAAGCTGTTTTAGATAGTGTTGGACAGATACAGATCATCATGAGTGGATGACCAACATACAGTAATAATTTCCTACTAAAACTACGATAGTTCATGCAGCACCTCTATTTTAATGTCAAACAGGAGAAAAGTTGCTGAGCTTATTGAGCAGCATGCAAGTAGCGTGGCTGCCCTCTCCCCCTTCCAGCGATTGGTGCTGGTGGGAGCCCCCTTGGTCTGGGCTGGCCAGGGTAAGGTGCCCAGACTCCCAGTGTCGGTGGCTGTGTCACGAACGCATGCGGCGGCGGGGTGAATGCTGCTCTTCTCCCACCAGTCATGGGGCTGCCATCTGGGGCTGCTGCTTTTCTCTGTTTCCTGACAGGGCTGGTTCTATTAGGCTCTGTTTTCTTGTCTAGAGCAAAGATTATGAATGTTATTTTCTTGAGAGCAAACACTGCCTTTCTTCCTCTCCCCAGTGGCTGCTGTTTCTTCTGCGTGCAATAACCCAAGTGTCTGGGGATTTGTGTTTGAGCATCTGAGTGAAGAAACCATGAATAAGACTGTTAGCCCCTGGCCAACAGCCAGTATGTGTGTCTGCTGCCCGAGCCCTCTTTGCAGATTCTTAGTGATGTGTTTATAAGACATGATAGTCCTACCAGCCATGCTGGTACACCTCTAGCCATGTGGTGGTCCTGGGTAATTGCTGATTTTAGTCTTTATTTTCAATACACCCCCAATGCTGCCAGCACTATTTCCATTTAAATGACCACCCTGGGTCTGCTCTGGGGGGAATCTGTATCGGGTCGGTCTGAACTTTGCAGCTTATCTTGGCCTGTCCAAGAAACAGCCCATCTAATTGGGAGAGGGTTATGGTGGCACTAGTCTGCTTTTCTCATCTGTATCAAGACAAAAATCAAAATCTTTCAGATGTGTTGCACTGTTGCTCACAAATGAGAGCAGGAGACTCTGGTGGTCAGGAAATGGCTGGTTCGGACTGAGCCTGGAGGATCTGTCTTCCTTGAGAGTGCCGGGACCCTGGTGCCAATGCCTCCTCCTGCATCTTTCTGCCCAGCCACGAACCCCCCTCAGCAGAGGTCACAGCATGCGTTTATTTGCCCTAAGACCAATGCAGTCCTGTAAAAAGCTTCTGTCTCATTCATAATGGATTTTCCAATGAAAACCTCAATTCGGAGAAGTCTGTGCCTGGCTCAACTCATCAGCCCAGAAACAACACTGGAGTTTCAGCATTGTTCCCAGAATAAATTGCTGGTTTCATGACTGGCATGGTGAATAGCTGGGATATGAATCATAACTTTGGATTACAATTCCCACACTGTGATAAGCCTGTGCGAGACATAATCCAGTCTAAAAACTTGCCCTTCTTGGGTGTCCATTGGCATGTGGACTTCTGTAAGTGGACAAAATCTGTGCTAGTTATACTCATCCAATCCCTTGCAAATCTGTATCGCTCCAGTTTCTCAATCTTTCCTAGTCATCATTTGGTGGCAAAAGGAGCCTTTTCACGAGGGTTGAGGGGAGGTTGTTTAGTTTTTACCTTCTGCTTGTTTGGGGTGACTTTCACTCCTCGTACTTGGTGTGAATAAATCCTCCAGACTGGAGTTTCAGCATTGTTCCCAGAATAAATTGCTGGTTTCATGACTGGCATGGTGAATAGCTGGGATATGAATCATAACTTTGGATTACAATTCCCACACTGTGATAAGCCTGTGCGAGACATAATCCAGTCTAAAAACTTGCCCTTCTTGGGTGTCCATTGGCATGTGGACAAAATCTGTGCTAGTTATACTCATCCAATCCCTTGCAAATCTGTATCGCTCCAGTTTCTCAATCTTTCCTAGTCATCATTTGGTGGCAAAAGGAGCCTTTTCACGAGGGTTGAGGGGAGGTTGTTTAGTTTTTACCTTCTGCTTGTTTGGGGTGACTTTCACTCCTCGTACTTGGTGTGAATAAATCCTCCAGATCTTGCAGCATGGGGTTAGTGCTGGCTTTGTTGTTTCTCTTGTTTTTTTCCTCTTCGCGTTGCTGCATCAACAAAAAACATCGGATTTAGTTTGAAACTGCAGATGTAATCTGTGAAATGGTGGCCTGGTGTCATGGTTGGCCTGGCTGAGCGTTTGTTGGTATGAATGTAATCTCTTTGCCAAGTTCAAGGTGCTGAATCTTGGTCTGGTGATTAAGG